GTTCATTTTGGTACACGTCTTCTGATTGTGTGCATTTAAAAGATTGTGTAAGTTATAGAAACTACTGAAAAATTTTACCTATGACATGGTGAGATAGAGTTTTCAAAACTAGAATTCTTTGTAAGTGATATTTTTGATGGTCTGGTTACACGTCCTTTGGAAATCCTATGCAGATAAGTTGTGCTCCCATGTGAGGTGAATCAGGTCTCTGAGGGTGACAGCTAGAGAAAAGATTTCTTCTTCACTGGTGCCTTAGATGAAATGATTCAACTTGCATGTGTGAGCACATTTATTTCCAGGGGGTGGTTTCTTTACCATGGAGCAGACACGGATTTTGTTCTTCCTTTCAAAAAATATCCTTTGGCTTTTAAAGCATGTGTTTTAGTGTTTCCACTAGCAAAGAGCTAAAGTGTGACAGTGTCAGAGGATAAAATAGGACATTATTTTTGCACTGTTTTGAATTATAGAGGCTGTGGTACTTGTTAAAAATGGAAGGAGGGGCAGCCAAAAGTATGTTTATGAAGTGCTTAAAGTTTACTTAGTCAGATCTGTTCCATGGTCTGGAAACTAACGTGTCAAAAGGGAGATAATTTTAGCTTTCACAGGACTATTTAATGTAGTAACGTTCTGGCCAATTTCTCCCGAGAAGAATGGAGACCATCCCATGCAGTGGACGAAATCTTGTAGGCAATACATAGTAGTGCATGGGATTGTGAGTTTCATTTGAAAAGTGTTACTTAATATAATTCTTGAAGAGTCTGCAAAGTAAAAAGCTTTGGAAACAGTTCATATCCAGCCTGGAAATGAAAAGTTTGGAAGCGTTCTCTTAAAATGGACAAAACAATGGACTGGGATGTTACGAGACTTGTATTTTAGTCCCACTTCTGTCGTTAATGAGCTTAGTGACAGTAGGCAAGTCTTCAGTTGCCTTATCTGTAAAATGAGACACAGAGTTTCCTGAACATTAGTTTTCAAGTGAGGACATGTTTTTCTTCCAAACAAAAGCTTGCTTATACACTAATCTAGTAAGTAAAGTAGCGAAAGAGAGAACCCATTCCCTCTGAAACTGCAGGTGGCGAGCCTAAGGCTGCCCCACCCGAGTGATGCCCTCACCACCATGCAGCAGCATGAGAAGCCGATGGAACGTTTTGGAGGCATGGTATCTGAAGTCTGTTGGCGTTCTCATTTTTTATAAGTAAACAAAGCAGTCTGTTTTGCTTTGCTAGGACCCCCCCCCCCCCCGGGGGCAATGCGGAATTAAAACAGAAGGGGGTGAACA